AATCATACAATAAGGTATATAGCTTTTGATCTGCTCTGCAGTAATTCGTGACCATGGTGCTTACTTCTGTGCTAGCATTCCTCCTGTACGAACGATGAGTTTCTGTGATAGGGTTCTACCGGAGCAGGGTGAAAGCACAGAGAAGGAAAGGCTTAACATAAGCCATTGCTCAGCGATAACTAAGAGTTGTATGTCTCCTTGCTGCACCAAAAGCTGGGAAGTTTTAAAATGGAATGGTCTCAAAGAGAATTGTTCTTTGAAACTAGGGAAGGCACAGGATCTGTCAGTCTTTAAAAAATCAGGTATAATAGCTCAGCCTACTTAGTTCTAGGCTGTCTTAATTAACTGATTTTGAGTCTTTAGGACAGATTGCCATGTAAATATTGACTTTCAAAATACTCAGGAAAGAAGGAGGGGGAAAAAAAAAAATTGGTGTGGCTGGCTGAACAAAATTTTTAACAAGATAGTTGTACTGCCATACCACATGGCCACGGACTCTGAGGGTAGTGCTGCAACCTGGCATACAAGCAGGGTTAAACGAGGAAGCGCTGCGCTGCTGGCTATGTGAGGTGCAAGGGACTTGGCTGCTCTGAGGTTGTGCATAGGAAGAAGCTAAGGCAGCTAAAGCACTGTCATTTCTCACCGCGCACGCGTGCTTCGAGAGACCAGCAAAGGGAACTTCTGCATGCATTTCTGCTTTATCCAAAATGGCTTTTGATAGTTTTCACTGTGCATGTACCTTTTCAAGTCAAACCACTGTTCCTTCTATCATTAACTGCCCAATCTGGCCGCGTATCATTATACCTCACTATTTTATGATATCTAGTTCATCAATGCAAAACACAGTGCAAAAAGGAAGTTCGTTTCATTATTTGAACAATGTGGTTAGCAGGCTTCCGGACAGGCCCAGGTTTCTCAGGAGTCATGAAATGGTAAACAAGCTCGGATTTGTCATGTGTGTTACTTCGCTAAGCTGAAAAAACTGCTCCAGAATTTTGAGCTTTTAGTCTCAGGATCTTGCGTATACTTTTATGAATAATGTGAAATTAGTACATATTACTAACTTCCAGTAATTTATATTATGGGATTCTTAATTGCTACAGTTTGGTATTCTGTGATACTACTATCCTGTTTTCCTTCTGTTTTTCCCTAGGTGTTTAGTATGTTGACTGTACCTAATCAGAAATGAAAATATTTATATTGTGAAGTACATTGTTTCTTTAGAGGATGAAAATATAAGAATTCATGGAAGCACTCAGCAGGTCATCAGATTATGTCAGTTGATGTTTGCTGCTGAAAAATAATTTTTAGTTATTATAGCTTCATATGACTTGTGTACTGCTGTTAGCTGGAAATGCACAAACATACGCATGTTAGAATAACATATCAAGACAAAGTAGCTTCTGTAAAATCCTTTCTAAAAAGGGTTTGTGAACACAGATGGCTATTGGGTTAAAGCAGTAAAGTGGTTTTTGAGTTCAAGTTACCAACTTGCTGCTACCTTTCTATGGTATTGCAAGGTTGCAGACTCCAGTAATCTGTTCTTTATGATGTTTCCTCACTTTTTTTTTTGAGGTGAGAAGCTTGGAACTTTGTTTATAGTTACTAACAAGTAACACTCAACTAGATAAATAGTTTCCTAAAGTCATAGGTGCTGATTTAATACCAAGCTATCTTGACTTAGGCTGGCCTGAGGGTCTTACTGTCTCTTACGTTGAACACAGAACTTTACTAGTCTTGGTAGTATCGCTGACCTCTACTATAGTTTTGCACAAGACAGTACCTACTATTTTTCTTGGAATTGCTCCTAACCTTATTGCCTGCGTAACTGGAAGCTATGCTGTTCTCTGTCTGTGTAATAAACCGCAGATGAAATATTAAGGTGCAAATATTGAGGAAAACAAAAAATTAAGGCTCATACCTGAGATGCATCTGGTAACTTCAAAATTGAATGTATTTTCTGTTACAAAGATCAGAAAGGTTGGTGTCATTCTCGTCTGACACCAGATTTAAGATTATGTAAATCTTAAGGTATTTGCATTGATAAAGTTGACTTTGGGTTACACTGAGTAAGAACAGAATTGTTACACTGCATGAGGAAGAAATGAAAAAGCTGCATTGCTAAAAACAAAGTTCTTGTTAGCTTAGCATCCTTGATCTTTTGCAGTATTCATAGGTAAAGCATTCTTCTCATTATAAAACAAAGAACACAAACATAGGTTTAAACTTCATTTATTTAAAATCTGAGTTTTGCATAATTTTATTTAACATCTGCAAGTCTTAAAACATTTAATTCTGAATAAAAAGTCTATTAAGAAAAAAATTTAGGTTCATATTTAAATTTTACACAATCAAAAGCAATCTACTCTTCCAAATCCCAATGAAACTTTATTTAGCTGCAAGTTTAAATGCCAAATCCTTCACCTATGATAGACATTCCAGCTGCCAAAGTCAAAGCACAGTTAGCTTTACAGCTATTTCCTGTTTTGTTTTCTGTAATGAACCTTGAATGGGGAGAAAATAGAGCTCTTAGTTGCAAAATAAGACCTTCTTCCAGACTAACTCTGCTGACAATTGTTGCATTATTTTCCTTCTACCAGAGACTGCTGTTTGTAATCAGAGAAACTGCTGCAGTTCAGTCTTGTGTCTTTGATCTGAGAAGTCTGCATTCATCAGCGGCTTAAGCTAATGCACCATCCTGTTTCGCCACTGGATGTATAACCACCACCAGAGAGGCACAGCAGAGCAGCTGGGGAACCTAATCCCTTGGAGGTGCCCTTGGAAGACCTGGCAGAGCTCATCTGTTGGAGGTCTAAGCTGAAATCTAGAATCTAGTAGCTTTGATATAAGAGGTAGATGTCTCAGTCACAGCTTCACAGAGCTGGTTCAGCATTTTGCAGATGTTTTGTAGCATCACACTCCTGGCCATGTGAGTGAAAATAGATCTCCTCTTCTAGCAAAAGGGACAGAGCCCTAAGAATCTTAATTTGCCTGTCCTGAAGGGACCTGATCAGAACCTTGGAAGTTGACTTCAGTGAGCTTTGGCTTATGCCCTGATATAGATGTGTGGTATATTGGTAGTGGGAGACATAGGGGGAAATGTCAGAAAAACAGTTGCCACTCTAACAGAAAGAATTAATTTTTCCTAAACTTTGTCCTGATCACAGAAATAAGCTTTCTAATTCCCGGCAGTTTAGAATAGAAAGCATCATGTGGAAAAAGAAGATATGCAGAACCCTAAAGGGAAACAATCTTATTCTGGACACAGCTTTGCAGAAAGGAAAATTAGCTCAACAGCCTTTGGAGCCCTCTACAACAAGTTCTGTAGGGAATAATACTTTTCCTTACAAAAACTCTTTAGAAATATTATTGCTACGTCCCATTGTCTGAAGTTGAAGTGCTGTGCTTCTATGTACTGTAGCCCTTGCTAACATCTGCTTCATTTGAACAAAGTGTTTCTTCATGCATCTGTTGACCCTGTTTTATCTTCATAAAATAATTTTTAATCACAGAAACTCTCCAAGTTGCAATTCTGCTGTTCATACCCAGATGACCCAACAGGCACAACATTAATACATACACCTTTTTTAAAACACTTTTTAAAAAAGTGTTTTTTAAGAAAGTGTTTTTTTTAAACACTTTTGTGATGAAATGTAGTTTAACACATTTACAGAGGGAACTTCAGTGACTTGGCACATTGTAAAAATTACTAACTTTGAACTATTAAAAAAAAGTTAATTCTCACACACCAGGGGGTTTAGCAAAAATTCTCTATACCCTCACTACACCGTTAAAAGCCACTTCATCTAGGAATTACAAATTACTGACTTGAGGATAGCTTTACCTTAGGTAAGTGATATTACATATTCAGTTGATCTTAAAATTTGAAGCCTGTACTTATTGCTCATGTAATTCAAGCTGTACTCATATAAATAGCTAGATATAGAAACACTGCTCATATGAACTGAGTGTACTTACACAGCTAAAAAACTTGTGAGGGTGAGCAAAAAGGGAAAGTTCAGGTGAACAGCTTTAGTTTTTCATGCCTATGTAAGTCACCCTACTAACTGCTACATCAGTGGTAGATGCACTAAACAAACAAATAAAAAATGAATTGGCAAATAAGAGATTTTGAGCGTACAAAAATTAATGTAAGGTAAAGTTTTTACATACTGTGACGCCCCCTGCCCCGTTATTAAAGGGAAAGAATATTGTGAGAAATGACATCTTGAATATAACCTACTACATGAGGTTACAGTAACAGAGTTGCAAAGCATATTTCAAGGCATGTGTGCATTTGTTTGTATACCATATAGTCACTTGTCTCTTGAATCTCGTGTAACAGCCAAGAAGGATAATAGGGTTGTATCACTACAGGACAGAAAGATTTCTGAACAGGAATTGCACCTATTTTCTCCAAGTCTTTTCAACACTGACCCAATTTCACATTGATGGTACTTTTTTTAAAGTGCTGATGTTAATCATCTTTATATTAAAAACAGTGCTCGTTTTGTTCTCGCAGTGTTAGCCCAGTGTTTCTCCATGATGCTGAACAAAAGCTGAGGATTTTTAAAAACACGTAACTTTGAAGATAAATGACAGTAACTGCAGACTACCCCTGTGGGCCCCAATCCTGTAAACATGTGGGCACATAGGTAAATCCACTCAATGTTTAACAGCAAATAAACCACTGACTAAGTTACCATTTTAAGTTTTATGTGAAAAAAATGACAGTATTAATGTTACTTTGCATATGCACCGAGCATCCTGTGCACTATGCGTGTTAGTCATTAACAATCATTAACAAATGCTACAAGTACAAAAGAAAAAAGTTAGTAGCACTTGCAAAAATGGAAGAGCTTGGGGCAAGGCATTCTGTTTGTGTTTAAAAACAAACAAAAAAACCACCACCAAAAAACAACCAAAAAGCCTGACATGAATTGAAAACCTGATGTCTACTGCCTGTTCAAAAAAGAATCTGAAAGGTAATGTGTTTTTTTTTTTTCTTTACTGTAATAGTTTATTGCTCCCCCTCTCCCCCCATACCTGTTACGGTTACGATCATACTGCATATTAAGTTCTACTTTTCCTCTTATCTTCAAAGAGACTTTTCAACATGTAAACCTGAACAGCTGATACCACCACCATCACTCCCAAGTTGACCATGGACCAGAAGTTCACTCGGTCAAAGTTGCTCTCTTGTATATTTCGGTCACGAGCCTCAAATGCTCTGAGCAGGGTCTGAATCTGGACACTTTTGCTTAATCTGGCTTTGACACTGTTGATGGATTCCTGGTAAGTAACAAAAGAGTATTTTTAGAAGAAAAAAGAACACCTGAATTAAATGTATAGCTTGCAACACATACAAAATATTAATACTGTATTGCCACCTGTAATCCAATTTCTTGCCAAGTAGACAGATAATTTTCCTTTTAAAATGTATACCTCCTCACAGTGTTTTCATTAATTTGTCTAGCCTGTTTAAGGTAGATCACCTAAAAAGGGTTAATTTAGCATTAAGGTTCTATAGTAATTTGTTTTTTCCCTTTTACAGGCTAGGGAGGTGAGAGAGAAATCAAATCTAAAATCAGTTTTTTAATATTCCATGTATTGGAACTGTGATTCCAGGTATTCAGACAAGTAAAAAGCAGTGATCTTTATAGAACTAATCTCAAAACAAGTTACGTAGTAGCAGACAAATGTAGGAGTGTTTTCTGATGGATCATCAAATGAAAGCACTCTTTAATGCAAACTAGCCTCAGCAAACTAGCTGTAGAAAAAGAATAGTAGTACAAAAAGTAGTACAGTAATGTTATACTCCCATCTTTTGATGCTTTCACTGTAGTGGCTACAAACTGCTGCTTGAGTTTTGATACTAAAGCAGAATTTTGATGATAAATTGTGAACAGGATAACTGCAGGTCCTACAAAGGACGCAGTGTGTCTCAGGGAACCAGAGGAAGTACACAAGCATGCTGGCTGCAACAGCGGCAGCTCCAGATCCAATCCTTCTGCTGCGTTTGCAAAATAAACGCCTGGTCCTAGAATCTGTTAAAGTTTCATCCACAATATAATAGTCACAACCTAAAATCTGATCTCATGAAGTGCGGATTTATGTTCTTGATATAATTATAGGACCCCCAAGTCACTTTTAATGAGAAGAGTAATACATGCAGTAACAGGAGGCTATAACTTTTAAAAGTTAAACCCATCAGTAACGTTCTCTCTGTGGATATTTTTGCTGTTGCATATTTAACAAATATTTCAAAAGAGCTATTTTTGGAAGCCGAATAATTTTATGATGATACTAAAGTTCATGTGTTACACAATAAGGAATATCAACACCATGCAAGAGCTTTAAAAATAAGACACAATTCACCATTTTCCCTAGCAAATATCTTTAAAAAGTTAAATTACTAAGTGTTTATGTAAGTCCTCATAGAGCTTGCAAGTAAAGCAATAACTTGACTAAGTAAACAACAGCATCAAATACTGATGTTAACTTTAAAAAGAATTACCTACTTTATAAGGCTCTCAAAGACAAGTTCTGCGTTTCTTCTTTTGGAAGGGATACCACACAAGTATGAACACAAGTAGCTATCAAATCCATTCAAGTACTGCTTGTGATTCGTGAGAGGGATTTTCTTCACAACTTCCCCTATAAGCTTTGGGTTTTTTCTGATTGTTTTGATTGCCAATTTTAAAGAAGATCTGGCCAGCTCTTCAGATTCTGTGTTTGGTTTTAACTGTTTAAAAGTGTATTGTACACCTAAGATCTTCAACATTAAGTCTGTTTAAAAATTCTTGTTCTCTTTATTGCAATAAATAGAATACAAACACTGGTGTAGAGAAAGATGTATTCAGTAAGTGTTTGGTGATGTTGTTTTGGGGTTTTTTGTGGATTTTTTTTTTAAAGATACCTGTTGTCTGTAGCTCAAGCAAACAAATAATGGCTTACTGCATCCTACCAAGTGCTAAGAACAGTGATACTGGAACACCAAACAATTTTCTACTTCTAGAGTAATCTCAGCATTAATAATCATGAATGGAAATAAAAGCTTTGACTCAGCAGTAGTCATCATCCTACGTTAAACAGTGTCAGTGTACAGTTTAAGCAAATGTTACCATTCATGGAATGCCTGCAAAGGTGAACCTGCAGCCTGGTACAGATTAACTCCTGTCCTGTTTATTAGTTTGAAAAGATGAAATAAAATTGGGGGGGGATACTAATAAAGTAATATAAAAATTATTGAAGTGAAGTATTAATCCACATGCTGGTTGGGGCACTTCTGCAGGGCTGGGAAGAAAAGGCTGATGCAGTACTTTATTTTGAAATGTTGAAAAAAGTCTATGCCATGATTCCAACTACACCATTGGGATTAAGCAATACTTTAATGCTATAAATATTCATTTCATTGTTGCTAGGGTAAAATGTCCCACTTTAGCAGTAAGAAGAAAAGAAGCTAAATTGGAAACAGAGTGACTTTGAGAGCTAGGCAGTTTCTTCTTGCTGATTAAGGGTCTATTTTGAAAATATTTTCAAGCTTCTGTGTGGAAGCAAACAATCCCTGGTGCTAGGCTTCATGTATCAGTAAAAGCAATATATGGAACTGGAATACTTTCCAGGATGATGCACCAGACCAAGGCAGAATGGCTAAATGACAGTGAGGTTTTTTCTGAATGTTCTGACATTGAAAAGAATTAAAGATCAAATACTAACCAGAATGTCTTCCAATTTCATATCTAGGAGATCTGTGCCTGTAACGTACTTCTTCCAGTCTTCCTGATCTTGTCCATCTTCTCCCATGTTGTCCAGGATCAGTTCAAAGAAAATCACCTTTTCAGAAATGGTACTGAATGTGTTGTCAAAGCAGAACATGTAATCCCCGTCTTCTGTTTCCACCCTGTGTGTATAAGCAAAATGTCATTAAATTAACTACACTTCTTGTGCTGGTTCTCAAAGTGCATTTTTGTAAGCAAACTTTCCTCTTTAAGACTGACAATCATGCACTTAGAAATAACTGAATATGCTTTTTATATAAAAATAAGAGCTCTAAAGACACATCACAGATTGCAGTCACAGCAAAACAATCCTGCTGACTCTAAGGCCTAAAATGAAGACAGCAGCTTACTTTCATTTTACTTTATTGGGATTTTGAATCATTTTGTTAATCATTATAAAAAAGCTGTAATATATACTCTATAGTAAAGTTACAATAATTACTACATATTTTGATAGAAGGACTAGAGAAAACGGGACTTTTCAGCTTATTTCTAGGACTGACAAAATCTTTTGATATGAGATGTGGAGACCTTTTTCAACTCCAGAATAATTACTTTTGTTCACTGACCATTAACAGCTATCATGAACCCAAAAATATTCTGCTCTTCATGGCAAGATCCATGTAAAAAGCATTCAGTGATTATAAAAAGGCCATTTGTGTTCTCAGACTGTCCTATTAGAAAGTCTTTTGTAATACTAAGAATAAAATGTACTCAACCTTTATTTTAGTTGTATTTGTTAAAGAAATCAGGAAAGTGCTTTGTGTAATGCTTCTAAGCCTGAAGATTTTAAACTTACGTATGAACTCCATCTGATTTCCTTTCATCAAAAACTAGAGTTTCACCTTTTGGAGACAGTAGATGAAAATCAACGTCTAATCCCGCTCCATCAAGAACCTGTGAAAACAAACAAAAAACCTTCCAACCACTGGACCTCCCATTTGCATTGGTGATGGCAACATTTTTAGGGAAGGCAAAGATTTTTAGGTAAGGGAACTGACACAGAAAGAATCTGAAAGCTTGAATCTGTACGAGTTTAGACCAAGTTAAGTGGAAACAGATTAAAAACTGCTTCAACCCAAAAGCATTTTAGCAGTTTCCAATCTTAAACTAAATACAGTCTGATCATGCTAAGTTGGGCTTATATGAACCTTTCCCTAATTTAAGAATGCATTCAGGGTTAGACAACCTGGAAGAATACCAACAGATGGCTAAGTCTAGCATTTGTATGGCATATGCCAGCACTAGTTCAGTGGCAGAAAAGAAACTTTGTAAGAGCTGTCACTCTTATGCATATAAAGATATATATTTGTACAAGGACACAATCTATGCAGTGTCATAAAGACAGGACTAGGCTTCTGACGCCAATCGAAGCTGTACCACAGACCTCACCTTTTAATGCAGACTTAAGGTCTGAATTCTCCCAGGGCATTCTCATTTCCCAAAGGCAGAAGGAATTGAAGGCATTTAGCTGCTTAAGCTCCTAAGTATACACAGGCCTAAGGAGCTGTGCTGCTTTCACTGTGTAGCATGGCTACAGTTGTATCGCCACATCGGTTGTGCTGTAGAAACTCTATAGGAAAGGTAATAACTGCATTAAGGGGATCATTTTTATGACATTACTTAGGTCTGTGCTAGGGGATTTTTTTTTTTTTTTGTTTGCTTTCCAGTGAGCTGTTTGGGTATAGCAGTTGAGGGCAAAGTTTACACCGACCTAAAGTGACACTGGAGACTTACCAAAAGAGAGAAAGGCCCAGGAAAATGAGTGGCTAACCACTGATCAAATTAAAAACCCTACAGTGACACACCTTTAGGGCCAGGACACAATCTAAACACCCAGAACAGAACTTCATCTCAGCACAGGGTTTCTGGCATTCTGTCTTTGGAGAGTGACCTGCAGCTCTACATTAAATATTCCTATGCTTTAGCCACTAACAATTCCAGATAATTATGTACAAAATAAATATTTCCAATAACATACAGAGCTCCTTTTCTACACATTTAAACAGAAAGATGAATCGTTACTGTTAGCAGTAGTGCTGAGAGATTTATGCCTGAGTAGAAATAAATTCACCGTTACACACATTTGTTCTCTGTCAAATAAATTTTTTGTTTTGATTATGGTTAAGATCCTACTTGGTCAGTGCAAAACAAAATTTTGTTTTGCTGAGGGCTCTGAACAAAGCTCAAACATCTCAGTCTTTCATTCTTGTTCAGTTCTGCATGTAACAATAATTAGAAAATAACCGTGAATTTCAGCTTTGTATTTTAGTTGGGAAGCAGAGGGGAAAAGGGGGGGGGGAAGAAGAGATGGATCCTGGCCAATTCTGAGGCACAGTAGCAGGATGGGAAAATATTCACTGCAGCTCCCCTCACTGTGCCTTTCCACTGAAAAAAAGTCTTTATTTTAA